TTGTATTATTTTTAATCACATTAGAAGTAGCTTAAAAGTAATTTTAAGACTGTAAGTACAATATATTGTTTTTTGCAGTTCTATTGTCACAATAAACTCATAGGTAACATAAGTATATTAATTGATTTTTAAGTTGTAAAGTTTTAATCTTAGTTTTTATTATTTTAGTCGTAGATATTATTGGTATTGTGTAGACATTTTGATTATGTTGCAAGGACAACTTGTGTCTGATGAAAAGTAAGAAAAATTATACAGTTTAATGACTACTAAATCTGATGATGAGAATTTTAAAAATGTAGTAAGGGATCGTTTTTTCAGAAGTGTCATTATCTTAACTGCTGCAGCTAGTGGGCAATGTTTTATTTCGGTCCATAATTCCAGATTTCATCTCCTTTCCTTCAGCCGTTTTGACGTGAAAGAGGGACAAATAAACACACAAACATTCGCATTTATAATATAAGTAGGATTGTGTGATATTAGTTAATTCTAGTAGACTGCCTCGTTGGCCGAGCGGTCGCGAAGGCAAGGGGTCTCGGATTCGATTCCCGGGTCGGGCAAAGTTGTACTGAGTTTTTTTAAAAAAAATCTCAGTAGTAGCATGGAGTCTGGAATTGTGCCCAGTATATGGCAATAGGCTCACCCCCTATTACATGGGACTCATAACATAAATAGTGAAAAGTTGGTGTTACATTGTACAGTGGCATAATGTGCACCTCTGCCTACTTCGGGGATAAAAGGCGTGATGTTATGTTAATGTAAATGTATGTTAGTTAATTCCAAATTCATAAATGCGTTAACTAACCTCAATTTTAAATCTCCTTCCAAAAAACATGAAACACGGCATCCATCTTAAAAAAAAAAACACGTGTTCGAACTTCAACGGTCAAATAACTAAAATAACGTTCGAATGAACGAAAATATGTAACAGTTCGTTTAGTTCAATGAAACGTTTATGAGTGACCGATAAAAATACGAGTACACGTCTGTTATCGACGGGTCACAGGTCATTTTGATAAATAGTATAACTATTGTAGTATTATTAAGTTCAAACTCTATACCACTAATTATAATTTTAATTAACTGGTACAGAAGAGAAATAAATACCTAACACAAATTTAGTATGTAAGTGTGGGAGGGCCATGCTTCGGCACGAATGGGTCGGCTCGACCGGAGTGATACCACGGCCGAGCAGAAAACCGACGTGAAACAACGCTTGCGTTGTGTTTCGTCGTGTGAGTGAGGTTACCGGAGGCCCAATTACCCTCTCCTTCCCCAATCTCCCGAATTCCTGAATGCCCAACGATCCTCAAACTCCTTATCCCCAAAAGGCCGGTAACGCACTTGTAACGCCTCTGGTGTTCCAGATGTCCATGGGCAACGCCGTGCCATTATACCATAAAAAAAACTTAGTTTTTGGGGAAATATAAAGCATATTGATGGATAGATGTCGTGGTGGCACGGAGGTTAAGATCTGCGTCTGTTGCATAAGAGTGCGAGTTCAAAACCTACCAACGGCAAGTACCAATGTGACTATTTCCGAGTTATATGTAAGTACTTTCTAAGATTGTTTGTTTGAACGCGCTAATCTCCGTAATTACAAGTCTGATTTGAATAATTCTTTTTGTGTTGGATAGCGCATTTATCGAGGATGGCTATAGGCTATAAAAATCACGGTACGACTAATAGGAGCTGAGCAGAGCGTGTGAAACCGCGCGGAAGTAGGTAGTAGTATAATATATATAAGATTGGCGACCCACGTTGCGATCCCCAATGCGTATCGTCCTCGTCACGACATGACAAAATACTCGAAATGTCTCCTTTGAAATTATACATCAAACTATTTGTGGATATAAACCCAGAGGGTGGAAGCTTAGGGTTGCTATTAAAAAAACAAGTGCGAGTCGGACTAGCGCATGAAGAGTTCCGTACTCATGGTTAATTTGTTCATTAACTAGCTTTTTCCTGCGGCTTTGCCAGCGTATTCCTGTTTTATCCCATAGGAGCTTAATTGAGATAAAAAGTAATCATATCACCTAAATCAGTCCATACCCTGTCTGTATACTACATCAAAATCCTTTAGGAAAATCCATTAGCAATTTTGAAGCAATTATCTTCAACCGATTGAACTGAAATTTTTATACACGTTTAGTTTGCATGCCCATAAATACATGGATATGATTTCTTTACTATCCACCACTTTAACATTCTCCACCACCCAATAGTCGACTGTCAGAGAATGCCTACGGCATTAATGCCGGAATACTGAAACGCTACTCAAATTTAAGTCGTGCTTAAGTATAGTTCTATCTCTACAAATTCTGTGTAAAATGACAGAGATGGCACGATATTTGAGTACAACTTACAATTGAGTAGCCTTTCAGTATTTGGGGGTAAGTCCACTAATTTCACAGTGTATGTGCAATGAAAGTTTAAATATATAAATAAAAAATGCTAATCAAATCAAATGATGTAAAGGCCCTGAGATTAAGTATCATCATCATCATCATCAACAGCCTATAAATGCCCACTGCTGAGCAAAGCCTCTTCTCACACGGAGAAGGTTAGAGCGTTAATCACCACGCTTGCTCAATGCGGGTTGGCGATTTCAAACTTATAATTAGAAATCATAAGTCCAGGTTTCCTCACGATGTTTTTCCTTCACCGTTTGTCAGTGGTGTCTAAATAATCTTAGAAAGTATATATAACTCGGAAAAAGTCACATTGGTACTTGCCGTTGGTAGGTTTCGAACCCGCACCCTCATGCATGAGAAGTGGGCGTCTTAAACCCTATTAGATATTATATATTAGAGATTAAGTATATCTGAAAGATATTTCAATTGTCTAGCTATCAGATACAGCCTAGTGATAGACAGACAGACGAACGGATAGCGGAGTCAGGGTTCTCGCTTTTACCCTTTGGTGAAAGAACCCTAAAATGTAGTTAGGGTAACCATCAGTTTTTCGAAAATCGACTGAGTTTTCAACTAGTGTTGCATTCAATTTTGTTAATGGATAATTTTAGTTGATTACGTAGTTTTTTTTTGTTGATAATAATTAATATGAGGTTGATGAACTTTTAAAGATGTGTGTTGGGGTATTGTTTTATCAGTTTGGGCTTGTTATATTCATAGTTTGGTGTTACTAAGTAGTTAAGTCGGAATGTTGGTATTGAAGCCGTAGGAAATTGTTTATCAATCTCTAATTATTAGATATTGAATGTGAGCCTATAACCAAATAATAAAAATTTTATTTTGTCACTGAAATTTCGTTGTTTCAATAATGTAATGTTTTGAATTGATGTTTTCTATTCAAATTAAAATGGCTGAACGAACCAAGGTGAAAATTAGCACAGAGATAGATTATAGCCCAAATTGACATATAGGCATTTTCGTCTCTGGCAGAAGATAGTTCCTAATAATACTTATAAATTCTTAAGTACCGAAGTACTTTTTTAGACCCTTTAGAAGCTTTATAACAGGCAAGAATAACCACATTGCAATCAATTTGCTCACATTCAAACCGAACTTGTACCCTCATCAACTAAACATTCCATACAAGAAAAACAAATTAATCACACAAAGGAATTTCAACCTTAAATAGTTCATAGGGATTACATTACAACAGAAACAATATCTAATATCACATAGAGTACAATATCGTGGGACACGGAAGGCCACGAGGCGAGTAGGCGCCGTTCTTAGAAATTAGAGGACAAATCAGCGATATGGAGCTTCTAGATACATGGATATTGAAAATAGAATCATATATTGTAATGGTTAGAAATCATTTTTGATTGAACCGAATTCATTTGGTTAATATAGAGGGGGCGTTTCTTAACGTCAAAATTTTGTTCTAAATACAACTTGTTCATTTGTTTTTCTGTTACAAAAGTAAAGTTAGAAATCTACTGAAAGATTGAACTCATTATCTTTAAGCCTAAAATTAGGGACTTGCACCATTATGAAGTAAACACATTTTTGAGCCATGGACCATGACGTTATGCAAAAACCATAATCGATAAGCTTCCATTTTTTTTTCCAAGTGACATTAAATCAGAAATTATTGAAGCACCAAAATGTCAGTGGACTCATGTGTGCGTGTGTAATGAGTTCCACGTTACTAGACTTAAGAAAATGATAGATGTCCTTCATGTCAATGTGTATATGTTCTGTGTATAAGTCTATAGTAACCAGGGCCTTTAGCCAAACGCCAATGTAAAGGGATGACACTAACAACGGTCATTTACGTCAATTCCAAATAATTTGGTTTTGTATTCTACATGTAGATAAACGCTAAGTGGCATTTGGCTACAGCTGCTGGTGCCACAGTCGTTGTTTCAAGTAATGATGTCCGCCCTATTTTTGACGTCCTTGTATCTGGTCATAAAAGCAGGCTAGATTCATAGTATATTTTATTATTTTCTAAAAATTACAAACGTCTGCCTACTCTGTTGCACTGTAAGCGTGAGTATAATAAGAGCTTTACTGTATATACGAGTGCTCTTTTATGTCCAATTAACAGCTTTATATCACGCGCTAAGGGGCGGGAATTTAATGTAATGTTTCATGTTTCAGGCTAAATTTCAGTTGTATTTTCTAAATTATTTACAGAAATTTTCAAAGTATCAAATAGGGAATATTTCAATGAACATTTTGATACATTTTTTGTGGCTTTAGTGTTTAAAATGACTGAGTTATTGATGGATTTCTGTGACGCGTCGAAAATATTTGTTTAGAAAAGATTTTTTATATTTTGAAAATGATGTCATATTACTAGGTGCATAAACAAAGGCTAGAATGTGTACAAACGAACAGGAAAACGTTTGCACAATTACATTAGGTAATCAATTACTATAATTAGGAAATGTCCTAAATACTCGAATCGCATAGTCATACTACATGAAAATCTCAACAACCGCCCGGCAACAGACTGTTGTAAACTATTCGAAAAGAAAAAAAAATTACAAACAAAATAAAAACTATTTTTGAAACATTACTCACCGTTTTCCTACTACAACATGGGTACTGGCACTTTACGACATACACTGGCCGGTTAGAATAAAAAAAAACACTGAAAGTCAGCCATTTTGCAATTTAAACGTCAAAAAACTGATTCACTCGCGGTAAAATTATTGTAAAGTTGTAGTTTTGAGAATTAATGCCTATTTGGATCTGATTTTTTGGAACGCACGTCTGATGGCGACGGAGAGCAAAATCGCACTGAAATGTAATTTGAATGAACCTCTGAATGACTATCAGAAATAGTCGAAGGGAGGAATATGGTAGTTTGCGTTCGCAGCGCTGACAGCGCTTTTTTTATTTTTTTTTATTTATATTTTTATTGACATTGCTTTGAACATTTTTTATTTTTTTTTAACTGTATATATTTACTTTATTTATGGGTATTATTTCTATATTATCTGTATTTAAACTCATTACTTCTCCTATGTCGCTTAAATACCGTCGTCAATTAATTGATTACAATGATTAATGTTTTATTTCAGTTTATTTTATTGGCTTTTATACTTTCCAATAAAATAAATTTTACTTACAAAATTTATTGAATTTCTTTTTACCAGAAAAATCTGTCATCTTACGATTATTTTATGTGTTGCAAAAACGCGCCAATTTAGCATGCGCTGTTGAAAATAAAGCGCTGTTTTAACGGATTTGTCGTCTAATGCCCGACCAATAGCGTTGCGTCGCGCGTTCGGCAAATTACAGCGATTCCTAAAGTTTCGTACTCATTCTTTTTGTAGTACACAATTGTTTAATAAATGTATTAATAAGAGATCGTGGATTTACATAAGAATTCTAATATGTATAAATATATCGTAGTTATGTTTAATTAAAGATTATTTTTTACAAAAATCGGAATAAAATACGTGTTTGTAATGTGTCTATTTCATTTTGACGATTTGTTACGACGCGTATTTTGTGTCTAAGTACAACTATGCTTTCTGAAATCGTTATTTCATTCTGTGGTAGGCCTAAGATACAGTTGCAAAAAGGAGATAAAGTCACTACCATTTTTCTAAAAAAAAAATATTATGTGTTTAATTTAAACATGAATATTACACATTAAAAAAAAATAGATAGACTTTAGTCAAGGAAACATCTTATTATACTGAAAAAAAAACACATAAAAGAACATAACATATTTTATCCCCAAAGGGATAGGCCGAGGTTTACATTACGGCACTTAATGCGAATTTACAATGTAACACCCACTTTTCACTATTTTTGTTATGAGTCCCATGTGATAGGGGGTGAGCCTATTGCCATATACCGGGCACAATTCCGGACAGACATACAAGAACGATCACTCAAAAATCACACTACAGCGCAACTCAGCTACAGAATAAACAAAAAAAAAAAATTCGCCATTTCATAATGCTTATATCATTTTACAACAGAAAATATTCACGTACACGATATACGTCACGAAGAACGAAAAGTTCTTGTGACATTTTAACCAAAAATGTCAGAAGAGCATCAAAGGGAGTATTTTAATAATAAAAAATTAACTTCAGAACCTGCGGCTTGAACAATTTTAATGTCGTGTGGTATTCGTTGAGCAATTTTATACAAATTTTCTGGCTTTTGACGCGTTTGTACGGGAACTAGGGGCTTGGGGGCCGGCAGCTGTGTCTGGGCCCCCAATGAATAGCGTCTGTTACTATGCCAGATATTGTTAGGGGTGCAAAGCTAGTGTGTATTGAATAGCGATTTGGTTTCGATAGGATAAACTGGTTAGGGGTTTTTGAATTGCTTGCTAAGTTGGTATTAGTATTAGATGTGTCGGTATGTTTAATTTTTACTTGTGTACTGTTGCTGAATAACCGAACGGTTTTTTGCTATACTATTCCGTATTAGATATTATTACGCAATAGCCTCACTCTCTATTACATGGGACTCATAACATAAATAGTGAAAAGTTCGTTGTTACATTGTACAGTGGCGTAATGTGCACCTCTGCCTACCCCTTCGGGGATAAAAGGCGTGTTTTGTATGAAGTATGAGAATGAAGGTAAATTAAGAATATGTCGGTTTTTGGGATTTCAATTATTCAGTAGCAATGTTTTACTGTAAATAAATCTTGGATGAGTTTTGATAGCAAAAGTGAATAAGTGATTGTACCGTTAAATATAAAAAATGGGGCTATTTTGTAAAAAAAATTAATTCTCTTCAAGAAATCTAGTCATTTTGTATAATACTAAAAAAAGACGAGAAATAAGTTAACCTAAATTAACTAAAAATCGCGGGTTACTCACGTGAATATACTGAGAAAAGCTCTTCTAGTTTCGAACCACAGAGGGGTTCTTCCATAAGAGCAGCGTGCGCGGTCGCGGCGTAGTCGCTATCATAAATAGAATTTTTAGTTAATTTAGTACCTATGTCTAACGATAGTTATTATAGAAACCTATTGGCCTATATTTTGAATTTGAACCCAGAAATAAAATCCTCAAGAAAAAGAAAACAAAAACGTAAATAAGATTTAAACTCGAAATAAGAGAAAAAAGTTTTTTGAAAAAACCTCATGATGGCCAATCGGCGGTTGCTCAGTCCCTTTACTTGGTAAGAGTTGAGTGTCTTCCTATGTTTTGAAACTTCAAGAACTGTTAGGTTCACCGTACTTTTTGTGGGTAACACCCCGACGCTTGAATAAGGGGCCGCCTCGATTGGGGGTCGAAAAACTTTCCTACTTTAAAGAATGGGTTGAATTTTTTTTGTGAAAAAGAAATTTTTTGTTTTTTTAAAAAATGAATTTTTTTTTGTTTTTGTTTTTTTTTCGTTGTTTTTTTACTGATTTCTGTTCTGGTTTTTTATGGATGTTTTTTTTTATTTTGTACTTTGTACGGGTGCTGGTTAAAAATGGTTTTGTTTTTTGCTTTGTTTTTTTGTTATAAAGTTTAATGGTAACGTAGTAAGACTGAAAATTGAATGGATTGTATATTTTTTTTTTTCTTTTCTATTATAAATTCATTGTTTTAACACAACTGCGCTTTTTTTTTGTCTCATGTTTTTAAGAAACAATATCAACATGGAGTTATTTTTTTAGTGTCGAGAGTCCTAATGTTATCTGTAGGACCTAGCTTCACTGACGGACTGACTGACAAACTATTATTTATTTTGTATTTGTTGACGTTTCAAAAGTACCAAATTATGGTTTAATTGAAATAAATGCTTTGACTTTGACTTTATGTAAATTATTTTTAACTCGCTTCTGCCAGTGGTTTTACCCGCGTTCCAGTGGTATAAAAGTAGCATAGTCAAAGTCAAAGCATTTATTATAATAAAAACTTAATTAGGCACTTATGAAACGTCAAAAATTGGATTGACCGTCTGTCAGTGAAGCCAGGCGCTCGGTTCAAAGTATAGTTTCGAATGGAGACGATCGAGGAAGAAACTCCATCGTATCGTTACTCTTTTTTGTGTTATTACATCATAGACACAGACCATAATCTATCCCTATTCCATGCGATCCATTCAGCCATTTTGACGTGATGGAGTGACAGACAAACATAAATAACTTTCTCATTTATTTATAATATTAGTAGAATAATTAAAATAAAGTAGGTATGGGCGGTTTTTAGTCAGTAAGAGACTGACACTCCCTCCCGCCTCACCCAGGCGGGAGAAGCCATTCGATGATTTCCCCCCCCCTTAGAAAAAAGCCATGAACGTAAGATAAGGTCAAACCGATGTGTACTGAATACTAGGTACTTACATAGTGATAGTTTTCTTATTTTCGAAAATTTTAAAGGGCATTTCGTAACATGGACGCGATCTGGTGGGTGGCCAGAAACAGGCGAACTTACCCGTATGTCTATAATCAAAATCCCTTCAAGCAAAGAACTGAAAAATAATAACCACCATATCAGACACACCTATCTACCCTCTAAAAGCTAACAAACGCGATATATTACCATTACTCAACAGCCACACATATCTACACCATAAAATTACATTAAAAAAGCAATATTTTCGTCTGGCAACACACGTAGGACAGAGTAAAGCAAATACAGTGTTGCCAGGAAAGCTACCTCGTAATTATACTCTTGGGTTGATAGTAGAGAGGTTATTGTGATGCGCTGAACGATTAGCGGGTTTTAAAATCGCTGAGTCTGCTGTAAAATCTGTTAAAAACAAAATTAGTTTTCTTTTCGTTTATTCTAAACGAGACTACTTAACTAACATAACATTACGCCTTTTATCTCCGAAGGGGTATGCACAGGTGTACATTATGCCACCGTACAATGTAACACCCACTTTTCACTACTTAACTGAGTTTTGACTAAACTAGTATTCTTACTTTTATTAGAATGGATGGGAGTTTTTTTGACCCCCTCAGTGTTTTGTGTTATACCATTAGCACATCCCATTAAAATATGCCCCAAAATTGGCCTAATTTTTAATACAACATGTGTGAACTCTTTAATACAATAAAATCATAAAATAGCATTTTTATAGAGAATCTATAAAACTGTATCATAAGATGAGAGAATGCCACTGGGAGTAAGGTCGGTTTATGTACCACTATTTTAACCGACTTTACAAAAAGGTGGGAGTTTGACCTGTATATATGTATGTGTGTATGTTTGTGCCCAATTATCTCGTGATCGGCTGAATCGATTTTGATGCGGTTAGAAAAATGCTTATTAGTTTATTACATATAATAGAAGGTTTTAGTATGTATATTAAGCGACTTCAAAAAAGAGGGTTGTAGCATCTTAAATGTAGTCAATAAAAGAATTGTTATATAGTATTGTGTGCTAAATAAGTACATAAATAAATGGAGGGTACAAACAATCGCTCCATTTATAATCACTATCCGCTATCCGCTCCGCTCACCACTATACCCGCAACCCGCGACCCACATACCTTGGTATGATCTTTTAACGCCACGCTTTGTCTCTTCACAAATGTGTTGAGCGTTAATAAGGCATAATGTATGCTCTGACGTAATAGTTATGACGTCACCAAATGGCGAGCGCCATGACAGTTGGCGTGGAGAAAGAATGAGAACAATAATTGTTATCGTTTCGGCCTTTTTTCGGTGTTTTGCGTTTGTTTTTTTATTGGGTTCAGTTATATTATGATAGGAAGATTTGTCCATACTAGGATGACAGATTTTTTAAGGGGGAAAGTCATCGAATAACTTCTCCCGCCTGGGTGAGGCGGGAAGGAGTGTCAGACTCTTACTGACTAAAAACCACC